CATTAACATATCCATCATTAAAGCACCATTTAGATGATGGGCACATAATCTTAGTTTTTCTACAACTATTTTCACTAATTATTCTGTTATCAACTTCACCAAAAAAAGGAACAGCCAGTACAGTTGAACACCCAGGATAGAAGTACAAGTCAATCTATTTTGACTGTCAATCCCAGTCCACCCTGATCTCTTCTGAACCTGTGAACAGGCCACCAAAAGGTGGCTGCAGCAAAACAGATGATTTTTAGGACACCGGAAGAGTTGCAAAGCAGAGCTAGACTGGAGATCAGGTTAGGGTGCTGGCTACAGTTTCAGAAGATGTGGATGATGGGGACACGGCACATACTGCAGGCAGAAGATATCAGTGACTCACTGGCCAGAGATTGTGTAGAGGCACGACCAAACCAGGCTTAATGGAAGGGAAAGCCCTGCAAAACCTGCTTCCCACGTCTGCAAGATGCTCCGGGATTTGAAGCAGTCATGGACTGTCTTGGCTGTCTACTAACAATTTTACTGAAATCATCACCTCAGATGAATAAGCACATTTTAATATGCCAAACAGAAGACCTTCTTACTCCTGCCTTCTACAAAGACAGACATATAAAAAGACCTAAACATGACCGCTCATTCCACGACCATGTATTCATAATAATTCTGAAAGAGCAGGCTTCACCTCGTGACATGCACTCAGCAGTACGGCATGCCAACTTTTAAGGTGAAGCCCTTCACAGCACCCCTGCGTCCCAAATGTAGCGAGAGGTGGTACCTGACAGTAAATTGATAATATTCTATGGTTTTCCTGCTCCAACTTCCAGCAGAAAGGACAGGTAAAAGATAGGACACACCTTAAAGCAAATACACGTTTAATTTTCCCTTCTCTTTTTTTTTTTCTATCAGTGAAAAACATACAGAAACATTTGAAGTCTAAAAGTTCAGACCAGGTTCTTGTTATTCTCCCCTGCGAAGGTTAAATGCAGTCACCGAACTCTGCATACCACCCTCAGTCACGAAGAACCCTCTGGCACAGCTCCCAGACCAGTAAAAAACGACCATTTCAGTCCCCAAAGCACGGAGCTTGATCCATTTAAGCAAAACAAGTTCTACTGACAGCTGGTTTTCTTAGCATATTCACGTCCGCATATTTATCAGAGAAAAGCCCTCCAGGACAACAGTGTTTATTGCAGGATTATTTCTGTGAATCCAGGGAACACAGCATTCACTGAGCAACAGTGTTTCTACCCTTAGATCTTTCTTTCTTAAAATGTGAACCAAGACGAACCCATTTTTATTTCCTTCAGCATGGACGACTCATGAAGGAAAAGAATGATTTTTTCTTAAAAAAACCCCAACAAACAAACAAAAACCCCAAACCCAACCAACCTTTTGATTCACATTCATGTATAGTACACTGACACAGATTTTAAGTATTAATATAGAAATTAGCTGTTCAATCTCACACTGACTCCTTGGATTTAGAGTCTAGTGACTTTCAATAAATGGAAACTAAAGATACGATGGATATTTTTATTATAAATTTCCTTTCCATATGAGTACTTTCACTAGAAAGATAATTTTGAGCAAGTAAGATACTTTCTACTGGCAGGTTTAGAGATGTTAATAACACATGGAAATGGGACAGAGATATAAAGGGTAAATGTCCCAGCAGCTCCTCGTCGTGGAGAAGCAGCCTCAGAATACATCTGTGCCTGCCCAGCAGCAGGAGGAGGTCGGGTGGATGAGCAAGTGAGGGGCCCCAGGTACTGAGACTGCTCAGCCCTCTGACCCTCTCCCCAAAGCACAGCAGCCGTCAGCAGGGGATGTAGAGCATCCTGTGGCCGGTCCCACAGCCCGAGGTGGGAGGAGGAGCGGGACGAGCTGGGGACACACACTCACAGATGCTGACAAGCACCATCCTCTCAAGTTGGGTGGTCAGTCTGTGGAGTTTCCCAGCTCACCACTTCCTCCAGAAGTGTGCAGAAACTGGTCTTTATGATACTACAGTTATGATGGCAGAATTAAACAAAACACATATCATAAATACCCCACGTTTCATTTTAACTTAATCTAATTTTTGAAATCATTAAAAGCGACTGTTATTGGCATCTATCTGCTTATTGATGCAGTGCAATAAAGAATAAGAAGAATTCTTAAAATTATAAAATGAAAGCTTTCTTAAGTGATAGATTTTAAGGAAACGTTAACTAGAAATTGCTGTTAATGTGTTTTGAACAATAAGTATTTAAAGGAATATTTTTAAATTAGCAAGTTTTAGTGAAAGAATTAAACCAGGTATAGTTATGAGTAATTATTGCTGAGATTTTTAGAAATTAACACAAATGCTTCCCATCCCTACGTGTGGGGTTGTTTTTTTACTGTAAGAACTGTACTTAATACTCTTGCAGCCAGACACCACACCACGCAAGTCAATGGAACACCAATATTGACTTGAATAAGGCACAGTACTTCTCTGCTGCACTTCTATTCCTTGCTTTAATATGTGAGCTTCTTCAAGCTCATCTTTGCCCCAAACCATAAAAAGTGGTCATCTCCCTCATTTTGCAAATCTCTCTTCCAGAGTCTATCACAAAGAGCAGTCAAAGTCTTAATAGTACTGTATTTACCATCTGTCTAAAAATAGAGCAAACATGCTTTACAATAAACCTTCAAAGCAAAACCACTACATTCATATTGCTAGGGCTCAAAATCGCTGACAAGATCCGTGGGTATGTATCATTTTTAGAAAATGCAATGTGGGAATGCATGTTTATATGGTAGAGCACAAAAGCAATGAAACCTCTTGGGAAAGCAGGAGATAACTCACGTAACACAAACAGGCCCTTTGCTCTTCTCTACAAAGCTGAAGCACTTCTATCTGAAAATGTTATTTCATATGTCAGGAAAATGCTATTCCTGTTTGCTCTTTCTTCCTAAGGTGAACAAAGTTTAGTATTAGCAAAATAATTGTGGGAATCTGGTATTTTTCCTGTTTTGTTGAGTACTAGGGAATGTTATGTTGGGAACTGTCAACTACTACTTACTCCACCTCAAAATCTGCTGCATAAAAAAAATACACTGGTAATTTGCTTACATGGCTTTTGTAGATGCAATTACTGCTAGCAGCAGGAAAGCAGTTTTATAAGCAGAACACAATTCAAATGTAACATGCCATGTCCTCAAGTCATTAAACTAATCCTCAGGGCTTCTTGAGGCTTTTTGTACTTTTGGCAAAAAGTATAAAGAAGTACGCATTGTTGCTTCAGTTCCCAGACACTGGAAAGTTAAATATCTAGTCTGTCAGCCCCTGCTAAACAGAGCAGAGATTGGGTTTGGGAAAGAACAAGAGACAACTATATCTTTGTTATTAGAGCCCAATCGAACAAACATTGAAAACATACCCATACATTTTTACATGGCACATAAGAAGTAGCCAGTAGACCAAAGGAAGGTGCAACAGCTCACAAGCAACTCTGGTCTTATGGGTTACCAGGATCTAGAAATGGTGACGAATGCCTTACAAATTCATGAGGACAGATTGAGTTATGTGAGTGAAGTAGCTCAACTTTGATACACAGATAACGTGACAAGGTGTGGCAGTGAACTCCAGGGTTTACTGGCATGATTTTAACATGACTCCATAAGCTATAAATGACAAAGCCATAAATACGTCAGACGTGTCAGATATGTACTAACACCACCCAAATATCTTTCTGCTATATTGCTCTACATCACACATCTAAAATCAGATATTCTTGAGGGCACTGACAGGAAAAGCAATACTTTTAGGAACTGTTCCTTTATATTTCTATTCTGCCTGGTATCAGAAGGTTAACATCTTTCTAAAGATACTATTGAAAGTGGGAAAATAAGCAATGTCTTCATTAACACATGGGTCATTTAGACAGCCATACCTGGGTGGCCTGAAATACACTTAAGAATCAACACGTGACTTGAGCTGAAAATACAATGGAAAGTAATGACAGCCCATTTGCTTTTAGCAGCAGCTGAGCAGAAGAATCCTTTGGAACACAGAGGGATAATTACATGTTTGACTACAATTATTCCCTCAACTAATGTTGAGAGGAATAGTGAATCGATAAAAAAATATGGAAATGTAAAAGCTGCTAAATATATTGTTTGTGTGTGTCTGCATGTGCACATGTAACCTACACTTTGTTAAATAAAATACCTGAAAAGTCTTATTATGCCTTTATCTAAATCAAATCTCGGATTTTGGTTTTTTAACTTGCATCCAACAGTTTATCCAGACTAATGCCCTGTTGAGCAAAACGTCAAGATACCATGTTCCTTCACTCACACAAACTTTTACCACTGAGTTGTTATAATTCCAGAAATGGAAGAAGAGAAATTTAATGAAAGTAGACTGACTTCTAACCCTCACCCTTCCATTTTAGGAATAAAAACTTGTTTCTCAGCAAATCTGTTTGTCAACTGGTAAACAGATCAGTGAGGTTCAACAATCTTAAAATTAAATATTCATATATTCTCCTGAAAAAAGTAGCTTACTAAAGCCGCAAATTCCTAACACACAGTTAATAAAGCCCTTTAGCTTCTATGAAAATACTTTATTCAAATGTATTATGCTTATACAGAGAACTTACCTTCCCTAAAGAAAAAGAAATTAAAGATTCCCCCACAAAACAGCTATCAGTATGCTGTACTGTAGGAGCCGCTCAAAATATACTGCTATAGGAAAACACAGCATAGTTTTCATGGATTATAATGCTACAAGAATATCACACATAGCCAGTGATGACTGTTCCCCATCCACATGTGATTCAGCCATAGATACAGAACTAGCCAAATGAAGATCTGTCATTTCTCTGCCACAGACACACTTGCAGTAATCATTATGGCTATAAGCAGTTTAAAACAATAGTATGTTATCACGTAGCCAACATATCTCACATATCTCAGGAAAAAACTGAAAAGTTCAGAGATGAAATAGAATGAACACTCCAGAAAAAAACTGTCTCACTCACTGTTCAATACGCGGGGAGAGATACAGCTTAGGAAAAACCTGAGTAGCTTCTGCATCCTCAAAACTAACGGAGAGAAGTGCAACATCTTCTCCAGGATCTTCATTCATATCCTGTACATAAAAAATAATAAATATAAAATGGCAAATAATAAACAGATTACTTACAAGCTTACAGATAACAACTACTAAGTCAAATACCAATTTATTTAGGAGACGCTTAAGTGAGGAATCTGAAGTGTAACCATTGAAAAATACGTTGCAAATGTATTCTTTCTTACTATATTAGTACTTAAAAGATATTCTGCTGTGCTTAATTTGCTTTAAAGCATCAAAATAAAATTACTGCGTTAGCAAGTGTACAGTAGTGTACGTCTTCTTCAATTAGCTGAACTACGTATTTCAGTAAAGACACAGATTTAATTTTTAAGAATTCTTGGTTTAACACTAACATCCGATGCAAATGTGAAAGAATTTTTTAAAATGTTATAATATCACTGAGTTAAGACCACAGATTTTATATTTGTTATTTTTCAAAGTAGTATTTGGTCTAAAATTTCTGCTGTACTCAACTCCTACTTCTCTCATGGATGAAAAATGTTTTTGTGATCAGAAATTTGTATCTAGAAGCCAAGTTGCTTCAAGAAACTTGCCCCAAGTCTCCTGCAAATTAAACCTGTGCATTACTTTCAGGAAAGACTGCATAATCTATAAAAACTACTGTAAGAAAAAAAAAAAATCCCGTGATAAATACCAAGACAGTCAATCTTAATGCATTCTCAGTTTAAGCTTCCTTTGTATCAGAACAATCAGCTACAGTTTTGGGATCAGGTAGAACAAATTGTTTCTGGTCAGGATCTGACATCTCTCCAATTCATAAATCACATACAGTACAAACAAGTGTATTTCTACTACACACAACTTCATTTAAGCCCTTGACCTCTAGTTAGAAAGCAATGAGTTAGCAGTGCAGCCACCTTCGTCGGCAGCAAGTAATATGGTGCCCCTTGCTGCTCACAAAGAAGCCCTTTAACATGTTTGTGCGTATGTACACAGCAACTTGCCAAGATGCATTTGTTTTTATCCGTTTGGGAAAAATATGAGAGGAAATAGATATGTGCTCCAAGCGGGATCAACATGGTGCAGTGTGCCCTGGTATGCTCTGTCCCACAAGCAGCTGCAAGGAAGGAACATGCAAACCACTTAAATGCTGTTAGGAGATCCTGCCCTATCTGGGGAGGAAAAAAAAAAAAAAAAGTGGTTTCAGGAAGGCAATCTTTTGCCACTAGAAGCTTCGGCAGGACTGAAACTGTTAACGTCCAGAGAGACTAGCTGCATACCAGCTATTACGTGCAGAACACAACATGCCAAGAATCTTAGTGATAAGCTGCAACGAAGAATGGGTCTTAAAAAAGCCTAATTGTCTTAGATGAAAAATGAGACAGAGCTGACAGTGTTTTCTTAAATTCTGCCTTGGTGTGCAGCTCCCTTCTGACAGCTGAAAGCAAAATGTACTTCTAGAAATGCCTGTAAAACAGTCACAAGCACACCGTGGCTGGAAATCAGAACACGGTTTTAACCAGAAGTTGCAGGACAAGACTCCATAGGAGTGGTGAGGCCAAAAACTAGCTGCTCTCCTGTTGGGGTATGATCAGTTTATGGGTGGCATTATATGGCATGGTTGCCTCTAACAGCAATGGACAGATGTCGTGACCCACAATGTTCCCTTCAGTGTTACGTTTCCAAATAGTACTATCATCTACAGTAGAACCGGCACAGATTATAAAGCCTTTTTCAACAAGACAAACAACAACAAAAAAACACTCAAGAGCGCAATGCCCCCAACCTTTTCCCCAGTATTTCACATATTTCCATCATTAAGGAAAAAATTAAAAAAGCAACAGCTTTCACTCCTGAAGCTGAGTATGGCATTAACTGGCTTTTTCCCATTAATTTGCTAATTGTCACTCAAATGAAAATAACTATTAAGACAGATTAAGCAGTGATGCTAATGATTAAAAAGATTTTATTTTAATGGGCATTCTTTAAGACACGACACAAGTATAATACATTCACTCGTGTAATTATGCAGTTCTTCCAAGACCATGTTCTTTTGTTTGTAATTCTTTTTAAATAATTTGTTTTTACAGAATAGAACCTACATGCATTTTACAAGCTAGGTGGACAAAACCAAACGTATTTAATCTTGCATTTAGTATTAGTGCTTAAATTGATGTGCACACACAGATTGACACCATGCATGAGACTAGTTTCTACAATACCATCCAGGTGCTTACTGATCAAAGAAATCAAAGCAAGGAAAAAAAAAAAAAAAATCGACCCCAAAACAGGTTAGGTGAACACCACTAGAGCATCCATTAACCCATACAGTAATACATTACATTTTCTACACTCACTAGTGGCTTCTTTAATATGAAGAGTTATGCCAGGAGGGAAAAAAACCACGAAACATAAATCATCACAGTATCTTTGCATGTTAAGCTTCAATAAGTTGATGTGTGCAGTAAGAGCAACAAACTAAGACACGTGACATTTTTCATTTACAAAAATAACTCACAAACACTACTGCAACTACTGTTGCCAAAACTGCATGACATTACATCCATACAGCTACTGTCCAATGCAAGTTTGAGTACAGAAATTAGCATTCTTCTGTAACTACTTTTCAAATCAATGTGTATTTTTGGCCCACATACCTGAAAAATGAAAACTGTAACTTAAAAAGACGCAAAAAATCATCATTCCTGTAGGTTTTAAGAAGATGTAATGCAGTAACACCGTGAAGTTTCTCAACCTTATTGCTCAAGTGGCCACAGGTTTATGATGAAGTCCCTTTGTATCCGACACCATACTGTTCATTCCTTTCAGACTTTGTTACTTTTATTTACGCAAGGATCTGCTTACTGCTCCATCTTAACATGAGAAGGAACTTCTTTACTTTGAGGGTAGTGGAGCACTGGCACAGGCTGCCCAGAGAGGTGGTGGAGTCTCCCACTCTGGAGACATTCAAAACCCGCCTGGACGCTGTCCTGTGCAACGTGCTGTAGGTGACCCTGCTCTGGCAGGGGGGTTGGACTAGATGATCTCCAGAGGTCCCTTCCAACCCTGACCATTCTGTGATTCTGTGATTCTGTGGAGCTGCATCCAACCCTTGTATGCCTGTTACAACTGCCGTTTATAAAACTAAACCAAAACCATACGTCTTACAGAAAAAGTGTGGAAAGCTTTTCAACTAATAGACCTTTTTGATGCTGTCTGTGCCAGTCACAACTTAACTCCTTCAGTGATCTCTCACCCAGTCATCTCTACAAACCTGTTAGTGAGTAAGTGAGATGATGGATCCTTATGTTACCAGGCAATGGCATTTCCCTAGAACAGAGGTTGGAATCCTTCTATTACACCAAAGCATCCAGAGGCAAAGGTTGTTTTAATGCTTCTTATCAAACTCTGCCTGGGCAGTGTCTTCCCCTTTCCCGTTTCTGCATAGGTATTTCTCTCAAAGAACAGGCCAGATCTAAAAAGAGCAGGAAAGCAAAAATCACCTCTATTTTTATTTTTCAATTGGCTTCAAAAGAGAGAGTGACATCCAATTGCTTTGGCAATATTATTTCCTTTTAGGAAAAAAAAAGGCTGCTGAACTGAAGACACAACACAGTTTTTAATATTTAAGTAGCCATGTTCCTTCTCATAATTTGCACTTAACTCACAACACTGATTTTGTAAAAATTAAGAGTGGCAATTTTCTATAAATGTTAGCATCCAAAGTTAGAACTGCCACATTAAAGTACCATTTTATACTCACAGAACTTTTTCCACACAAGACTCTACAGAAGATATCATTAAAATGAACTTCCACTGAACGAAGAGCACATCCTGGGCCACAGGAATTTTGAGGTTTAAAAACTGAATGTTTGTAAAAATGTTTGAAACCATTAGTTAAGCATGTGATAATGCACACCTATTAGTTTTTCCACAAGTCTCATGCTTGATAGTAAAAAAAACCCTCTAGCATACTACAATGTGAAAGATCCAACACAGATTTTCAGTGTCTTTCTGCCATCTTGCTATTGTGTATTTCCTTTTTAAAAAATAATCTTTTCCTCATCTCAGAAAATACACATTAAAATCAAACAGGAAAAAAAAAGGATACATCATTTAACACTGAAAAGAAATACTTTTCTTTCTCAAGAACTGCAAGAGGTTTCGTATGTTTACAGAATATTTTGCACAGTGTGGACTAATCCTTCACTGAACCTCTGAAGTGCTGTGGAAATGCAAAATATACATAGTAAAGCAATGTGGTTAGAAAGGAACAAAATAACAAAAAAACCTAAAGATTTTCAACCCGTTGGCTTTTTTCTATTGCAAAGACCTTCTAGCAGCAACTTACAAGAATAAATAAAACTTTTCACAAAGAAAAGCATAAAGAGAAAGCCCATGGTATTTTATTTGAATTTACACCTTGTCTCCTTAGCCAGTGCAGATGAAAGGTTCATTAAGTATGTATTTTTGAAACTCAAGAACAAGAGGCCACATGAAAATACAAATGCACCACAGAGCAGATGAAAATGGAAGTTTGAAGGCATTTAGATTTTTTTTTCCCAAAAAACTCCAGGAAAATACTTCAGGTATCACAAGGCTCCAAAGTAAAACTTAAAATCCTACTTCTAGTTGTAACCATTTGTTATATTTCATTCACATCAGCCTAAATTTACACTCAAATGCATGCTACAATGTTTACAGCTGCTCCCTTTGCAAAATACTTAATCTTTTTACAAAGTTAGTATGGGTTGTTTACGAAAATCATCATCATAACCACTTTAAATGCACCATCCAAACGGCATTGTTTTCTCATATCCTACCTACTGTAATTGAAAACTGGGAATTTACTGGAACTGACAATTTATTATGAGTCAGATGGTTGATAGCCAGTCCAACCAAAACATCTGCGCCGCACAGTCACAACTGCTATAACCCATTTCCTCTTGCGCCTGGAGTCCAACCAAGTTGTACGCTACAGTTCCTTTTTCCTTAAAGATGCAGACTCTGGAAAATCAGTGATTACCTTTCCTCAGTTATCAACAAAGGATCAC